GATGGTATCGGGAGTTCTGCCGCGATGTGCGTTCGTGAAATTTGGCGGCTGCGATTAATCCGAACAATTCCTCAGAGCACTCCCCATGGTAGATGCGAAAGAAAATGTAAAGGGATGCAACATATATTTGCAGTGCCAATGAATCGAGCCGATCGGAAAGGGCTCGGTCGTCGACGATTCGAGCCGCTCTGCGTTGGACGCGGTCAAGTGGAAGGAGCTGGCACTGGGGAGCCCCTGCCCAGAGATGGGAACAGTATTCCATGTGAGGCCGAACCTGCGCCTTGTAAAGTTGCAGGCGGTGTGCCGGCATGAAATACTATGTGACCTAACATAATAAGTAATACATATTTTATTAACTATTGTGCGGTAACCCGTACATCCTGCTCCCCAAAAGAGGGAAACTAAGAAGTAAGTACACTACAACAAGAATATAACAATCTTAATAAAGAAAACAAAGTAAAATAATATTAATCCTTAAATATTTCATCACTGCACTACACTTGCAACGGAATCTCCAGTCGTACAGATTGCGGTCGGGTTCTCGGGGGTGTGACAGCCTCTTCGTATTCACTCCTTACCGCCGCCATCGGGATTGAGTTCACAGGGGTGTTCGTCACAGCCAAGTTCAGGGCTCCCTTGCTTCTGCGACATCGCATGAACGGGTTAACACATCCCGTTATAACGATCAGTCCCAGTACTGAATACGGGACAACTCTCCATTAAACCATTAAGGCTGTGTCCACTAGATGTTTTTGATGCGCCGTTGAAAATTGTTCGATGCCTTTGTCGTAGTGGAATCAGTTTTTTCAACACCGTGATGTGGAAGATAGTTCACGATTGCACTGTGTTGTGTGACCGGAGACATGTGACCTTGTTGCTAGTAATCTCTCATAAATTTTTTGTAAATTTCAGCAAAGACTTCTTTTTTTGACATCTTTATTTTTTCAAGTTGTAGAATTGTGCAATTGACCTTGATTTAGATTCACCTAGGTCATGTTCGAATCCAGGCCTTATCGAGAGAGCAACCTTGTATCTTCCGTTAGGTAGTCGTCTTGTTGTAGACTGGTAGAATTGCTCACAATACTGTTCGTCTGGTGTCATTCAGCAGCTGAGTCACTGATCTCTTCGAGCTCCTCAGTGTTGAAAAATCTCTGATAAGTCGGTAATTACAACGTGAAATTTGAACGTTTTCACGTTACCCGAGAGTATCCAGCCCAGTCTCGTTTGTTGGGCTATTGGTGACATGTTTGGGCCTTTGATCAGACCTCTCATGATGATCTCAGTGTATATGCTTACGTCTATTAGACCAACAGGCTTTGAAACGTTGTACTCGGGATCAGCCAGTTGTATATGTTGCAGGTGAGGCCACGACTCCTTACCGAAAGACATATTTGGCAGATTGTTGATAACGTGGTTGATGACTAATGCTTGAGTTGTGAACTCATAGTCTTGTTAAATAGATTGAAATTCAAGTATGACGACTCCTTTGCCTTTTTTCGATCTATTTCCAATGCCAGATACAGATGCGTGATATCATTGTCGAGGCAAGCCTAGCATTTTTTTTTATAGGATCGGGTGACAAACGAGCACACAATCCACCTGATGGTAAGTGGTTGCTGTGGCCCATAGACATCTACATTTATCCTCGTTTGCGAATCAAAATGCAGATGCGTTGTCACCCGTGATGACTAAGATGGAATGCCTCTTTTCCAGTAAAAAGGGTCTCCGGTTCTCTACACTCAACATACAAAACACAGCAGTGTTAAACTGCTATTTTACGCTGGTATTCTGTGAGAGCGTGGTCCTTCCCCGGTCGAGCCGACCCATTCGTGCTACAACTATACTACTAATATAGCTGCAGCATGGCTCTACCACGTATAGCTCTACAACGTGTAGCATCTGGGCGGCGTTCTCAGATATCAGTGAGATTTTAGAGACTTGATCCAGAAGGCATCTCAAGGTGATATACGTGCCATCAGAAGCTTTGACCATGATAGATAAGGTGGTCAATAGAACTCGTCGTCATCTGTAGCGACGTGATTAACGCTATGTTGTTTAGTATTTTGTCGCGTTGTCACTTGAGGTATTTGCGTAACAGGAGCGGTAGGTACGGGCAACGACCCCGCGGTCACGTAGGCAGGCCGCCTGTTTACTGAAGACGTATTAAGGCTCATATTTGCATATGCGTCATGTAACATCGTTTATGACTCTTTTTTCAAACTTTGCATCTTTTTGTCTACGTATATGGATTGTCACTGTGTGGTTACAGGCAATTGTGGCAATAATTTATTTTCTTGACGGTTATTAACCTCTCGTCTAGTGTAAAGTAATGACTGAGTATGTTGCAACAGCTTGAAATTCTCTGTTCGGAAATTTTCCATAGCGATTACCACCACCTTGTTGATAATGAGAATTGTATGGCTTGCTTTTAGTCATCTTCTTTGTAATTTTTGTAGGATGTGTTTTGACGGATAATTTGCTCTCTAAAAAGTCCATAAGTTCAGAAAGCGATGGCAAGACTCTTGGCGACTTTCGTGCTTCTTTATAATCACGGTATGTTTCAGTATCCAGCTTCTTTGCTATGAGGTGGGCTATCAGTGGGTCCCAGGTACTTGTATCGATGCCTAGATTCTGTATGGCACGAATACATTCCATAGATGTGTCATACAGACGTCTCAACTCGTATTCCGACTGTTTATGAGCGACCGGTTGGTTTAGAAAAATTTCAATCTGCTTAGTAAACAAGAATTGTGGGTTGTTATATCTATGTGTTAACAGTTCCCATGCCGTGTCATAGTTGTCTGCTGAGATGTTTAGATGCTGAATAAGTCGCTCGGCATTTCCTTGTAATTTACCTTTCAGGTGCTGCATTTTCTAGCTTTTTGTGAGCAGGTTGATGTTATGGATGCTCTCTATGTAAAGATTGTAGAATGTAGGCCGTTGTGTGTATTTGCCTGTGAATGTATATCGATTTGTGGTGTTGATAGCTGCAGATGCACCGTGGATACAAGTTTTAGATCAAAGCCTTCTTGATGCTCTTGTAGTCTTCGTAAGTATAAAATTCATTGTCGTACTGTGTATTTGAATCTTGAAGAATATGATCGATTTGTAGATGCAAAGCATCGATGGCATTCCAGCGTGTCTGGATGTTGCGTAACTCATCTTCTAGCTCCCACTTGTCTCGTATCTCGTCAACTTTTAAGCTACTCACTTATCGGTGGAAAGCTCTAAAATTTGTTCTTTGCAGAGATAGCAGTTCTGCTGCCTGGCCTTGATCTGTAGGCGAGTTTATCATCAAAGATGACTTTGGTGGTACTGTGAGTCTCGGCTGTAGTTTAAGTGAAACCGTAATTTGAGCTAACTCTTGAGGAACAATTCTGGTGATTAAGGTGCAGAAATTTCACTTGCAGAAAGGAAAGATGATATCTTGATACGCACAGAATCAAAGTATGTCCTGGCTTGTTGGTATTGTTTTTCCATAAAATAAAGATCGGTGTCATGCTCATAGCACTCATTGGATAGCTTGTGGTTGTTAACTTGGAACTCGGCCCATAATTTATCAAGGACTTCGAGTCTTTCACTCAAGTATTTACGAGTCTTCCGGCTTGCAGAATCCTTACTAAAGTTTCTTTCTATCTTCTTGATCGCTTCATCAATGTCTTGTTGGCGCTGAAGTAGTCTCTCCATTTCGTATATGTTCACTGACTCAACGAGGACGAAAAATGTAATCTTAATATTTACAAACACAGTTTTCTCTCAAATGTCGACGATAACTGTCTGTGATAGCTGAAGTGGTAAAGCTTTGTCTAGTGGTCCGGGCGACTCTTATGTCTACGCGAACCTAGTACGACCATTTCTGCGCCTTCTTAATTGAACTGGTGGAACCCGCTTATGGGAAGCCAGTCAACCGATGGTAGTCGCACAAAATCCACGAAGAACAAAAAGTGACTTCAACGTAAGGACCACTATACCTGAATTTTCCAAATGTCGGTGGAATCCACAGGTTCGATCTTGTGTCTTTAAATCTCCAAAGAAACTGATTATCTCGAATGTCCATTTTAACAGTGGTAGAGCCACACGGCAGAATTGCTGTCGCATGGATGGGCTAGCTCGAACCGGGGTTGTACCACGACCTCACAGAATACCAGCGTGAAGTAGAGGTTTACCTCTGCGTTTCGCTTGGTGAGTGCAGGTGGCCGGAGGCCCTTTTTACTGGAAATGAGGCATTCCATCTTAGTCCTCACAGGTGACAACGCATCTGAATTTTGATTCGCAAACGAGGATAGATGTAGATGTCTATGGGCCGCAGCAACCACTTACCATCAGGTGGACTGTGTGCTCGTTACGTAAAGACTAATAAGGATAGCATCTACGACAATACAAACGCCCTCGTATACAATATAACAAAGACAATAGCAGAAAGTGAAAAAGTTAAAAAATACTTTTTTAACAATGACAGTCATTAGCTGATCATTAGTGAATGTGATTCTGTTTACTTCAATTACAGGAAGACAAGAGCGGAAGGAAGAGATGAGTGTGGCATACGTGTACAAAACACATCATTGAATAACAAAACTACAACACTGAGTGGAGAAGAAAACGAGAAGAGTATGCAGTACTCAAGAGCTGAATATCCATTCTTCAGTTCAAAATCTAGCCGTTTGCTTAGTTTCGAAAACTGGCCTCTAGTTATGCGACAGAAACCTGAAGATCTTGCCGAAGCTGGTTTCTTTTATACTGGCCATGCAGACGGGACCAAGTGTTTCCATTGTGGTGGTGGTTTAAAAGATTGGGAAGATGATGATGATCCTTGGCAGCAGCTCGAACTCAACTCGAACAGTGTTTTGTATTAGATTAAATAGAAGATTTATAAAGAAATAAAAAAAATATATTGCATACAATTTGTTTTATTTAATTTTATAACGTTTCACATAGTTACATACACACAAAATGCATTACACATAACACATAAAATCTAACACACAACACATATTATAACCTTAACTACTATAGTCTACAGTAACATTTCTGTTTTTATCTATCTCAATAATATTATCAAACTCAGCATAAACTATACAGTTAATTGTTTGTATTAATGAGGATTCAAATCGTACTTCTATTCTTACACTACCATGCTTTATGAGATTCCAATGAGTTGATGAGTTAGCTGATAAATCAGGAGTTAAGTCAAATGCTAATAGACAGTAACCTTTGCCATACTGTTCACAAGAGATTCCATTTCCTTCATTAAGAAAGTGAATACCAGTTCCCGAGAATAGAGTATGATATGCTGATGTAAATATGCTATTATTAAAAGATGGTTGCAAAGCTTTTGAAGGTATTTGTTGACCATCAATATATAAGCTGAAAGAATTAATACCATAGTTTTCAAAGTTAAATGGATTTTTAGTAAGGGAACCATTAAATGCAGAATTGTTCACAAATCCAATTATACATCTTTTCGGTACCTGTCCTAAAAATATATTATCAAGAGTTTTTCCTTGAACACCTGAAGGAATTGTTAAAACTTTTACTTCAGCTCGAGTAATAGGATATTTAGCAGTGGTAGAAGCTAAAACTTTTTGATGTGCGAGTAATACACTTGGATTAATTCGTGCTCGTCGCACAATAAGAGTTGCGTCCGTAATGCAAACTTTAAACTTTACATCGTTCGACCCAACAATTAAATTAAAACTCTCTCTTGATCGAACCAATTTAACACTCATTTCAACACCATTAATTAAAAATTTATCTTGGTTAAAAATGTCACCGTGAAGATGACCAATCATTTCTATTTCCTTACTTTCACTAATCAATTCCTGTCTTTTAACAAATCCTATGTTTTTACCATCTGTAGAATCCATTTTTCCTGCTGTATCCTCATACCAAAGACTACAAGTAAGATGAGATTGTTTAGCAGCAGGGGCATAGTTTAAAAGGGTTTCCATGTATGCTCGATATGCATAGGTATTATTAGGTGGTGATACAAGTTTTTGGTTTAAATAAACATCAAGTTGACTAAAAAGTGAATGCAGCCAATTATTTACAGGTGCTACTATTGTAGTACATACCAAGTTAGTTGAATCTTGATTTAATACTTTTGCCTTTATGTGGAGTAATGTATGAGACAAATCTATGTAGTCATCGCCGGTCCCAGGAACTTGAAACTCGATAGGTCCATCATCACCAAGAGATGAAATTGGTTTATAATGAATCCACAATCCATTTTCAATGCTAGTTTGTGTAGACGGTAGTGCAAACAAATCCAATTCTGACTTAACGCACTCGCAAGAATGATTATGAAGGAAAGACATATTTAGTTTGAAAATATATCTTTGATATTTTTTGGTTTTAGACTAAGTTTTTTCGCAGCTTTCACTTTAGCAGTTAATGGTGGAATGAACGATGTCAATCGTTTTCTTTTAGTTTTATACCCAGATCCAGTCATGTTAAATTGATCAATTTTCTCATCAGCCTTTCGTTTTAAATTCGTACTAACTTGCTTTAGACGATCTTTTATTGAGGCTTCCATAGGACGGGCTTGAACCATATCCGATAAAAGTCCTACTCCAGCGCTTAATGCCTCCTTACCAATCACTCGAGCACCACTTGAAAGTAAAGGTAAAACTGATCTGAATAACCCCCCTAAGAAGCTCCCAATACCATGACCGCGTTGATATGGTGAACCCTTATAAATTACTCTAACTCCTGATCCAGCTTGATGTGTATAATAATTTTCATATGGACATTTATGATGATCACGAAGAGAATTCATTATTATAATTTTCGGAAATGTAGTTTAATACACACGGTTCCAAACTGGAATGGTATTTTTTGTCCTGTACTCGATCTTATAACTATTTCCAACGTATCGAACTCTCTTCGCATAACAGGTAAGTAGTGAGGTTGAGAGAAAACGTGCATTTTATTTGCACCATAAATGTATTTTGTAGGATCTAATGAAATGACTCTTAATAAAGGAGTCATAACATCACCCACAATCTGAGGATCGATAATGTCGCAATATAGAAATAGTTGAGATGGTAACCCTAAGTGTAAATTAGCAGGACACTTTCCAAAATTTCTCTCTAGGAGATTTTTATTTGGTTCATAACCTAGCTGTAAACTTAATTTGGGTGATAATGTTACGGATGTTATATTTTTATCCAATACCGAAATAGACACAAATTTTGTTATTTCATCATAGCGAAATTTCAAGTTCTCTCCGATACCATTTAACACTCTTAAAATATGCTCAACGTTATCATAGTTGGTAGCTGGAATATGATTTTTGTAGTACACTGTGGATGGCTTATCTTCATTAGGCATTAACATAGATTTTGTAATGTATATAACATTTTCATGGTCTTGAACAGTAAACATGGTACATGGATATTGAAACTCGACAACTCCAACCGACCATTCACCTTCTAATTTTATAGCTTTTGGTAATTTCGTTGAAAAATTTGTGGTCTTGTTATCAGGAAAGTATTCCATTGAACTATTGCTGAGCAAAGTTAAATAGAAACTTTCTTTATTCATATTTCTTTTAAACTAGAAGCTAAAATCCAACTGTTAAATTTATCTGGATAACCTTTCCACTTCACTAATACTACTTTTCTGTTACTTGAATAACGAGTGTCAATTATTTTATCTATTTTATGTTGTGAGGTGGGGTTGTAAGTGATTTTCTGTAATTCTCTTTCATAAAAAGTACCAATTATTGGTTCATTTTGTAAATCTGTTATTGTATAAACAACCCATGGAGATCTATCAATTATTGAAGATATAATAAATATTTCATCACTCCAATTTGATTCATATCCTTTTTGGAATACATGTTTATATTTAGTTATTCGAACATAATCACCCACATTGAAATTTGGTTTAGGATTTTCTAAAGAAAGTTTTTTTGACCGTCTATCATAAAGATTAGTCCAAACTGTCATAATATTGTTGGAATTTACATCACATGGGCACATCTTAATACTAGAGTGAAAGCTGTGATTATAAGAGTATATTAAATCTTGTAAAACATCTATATATCTATAAGTATTATTATGAGTGAAATAACGCCACATTTTTATTTTTAGTGTTCTTTGAAATCGTTCAACAATACTGGCCTTAATGTCAGGATTGTTAGTGGTATAGTAATTAATCTTTTTGGATTTAAAGTATTTTTGTACATCTTTTGAAACAAATTCTGTACCTTTATCGGATTGTATGTGAGTAGGTGTTAAATTACTTTCAGTAAATATACTTTCAAAACATTCTTTAGTTGTTTCTGAGTTTTTCTTTTTCATTGGTCTTGCAAAAGCATATTTACTAAATACATCAATAATACAAAGTATATACTTGAAACCATCATTATATTGAGAATAAGTTCGCATATCACTTAAATCAGCTTGCCACAGTTCATTAATATTTGATAGAATGTACCTATTACGCGGGAATTTTTTTCGAATAGGTTTATGTAATGTGTATGTTTCTTGTGATTTTAACCATTCCTTTACTTGCTTTTTATTCATTTTACCCTTCATGGCTTTTGATAATTTATCAATACTACCAAAACCAGCGGGATTAGATGGATCATAATAAATCCTGTTAATTTCTTCTAGTACGGAGTCCATTTTTCCCACTCAAGTCCTTTACGTATTTTAGTTGTAGACTTTTTATCTCTACTGCACGGTGTAGAAAACTCTTGAACTTCAATCTCAGAGGGTTTGTTCAGATCTTTTGCTTGAAGTTGGTTAATAAACTCACATCTCCTTGGATTTCCAATATAAGTAAGTGGTACTTTAATATCTTTTAATGCTTCAGCAAATCTAACCCACCCTACCGGATCACTTCTTTTTAGGGGTCTTAGTGAATCATTTATTAAATCAACAATATTACTTCCAGGAATTTTTTCACTATCAATTATGACTGTACCTTCGTTATCCCAATGTATTTTACTTTTACTTGTTTCAACTAAGTTTAATAATAACTGCCCTTTTTTATGATAAGTTTTTGGTATTAAACTGAGTATTTGAGCTGGTGTGTAAAGTGGATTTTCATCATTTTCTTTACTTTTAATGGATCGATTCTCCTCCAGCAAAGATTCAATATCAACTGAAGTTTTTAGATCTCTATCTTTATTTTTAAAACCAATTTTTGACTCATTTGAATCTTCATTAGATGTATCAGAATAAATTGGTAATTTGAGTGGTTGACGATCCTCTTCGGTAAAATGAAGGTATCTTTGCAGTGTTTGTAAATATAATATCCATTTCTTTCGGTCTTCCGTCTTACTATTCATAATATTTTGCATTTCAATATCTAATCGAGATAAATTACTATTAACCTTATTTTCTTGTTTTAATTTTTCAATCAATCCAGGTTCGATAAGTATCATTTTCTTTGCATTTTCCATGTTAACTGGCTAGTCCACTCACTAATCCACTCAATATTGCACCTAATATTGTTGGTAAGAAAGCCCCTCCTTTTTGTATAATTATATTTTTTCTTAGTTTATGTTTACACTTACGTACTAGTTTACGGAGTATGTTTTTATGTTTATTCAATTTTTGTTTATCCTGATCTTTAAGAGGTACTTTTCCTTGTAAAACGTTATGAATACACTCACAAATACAGTTAATTTCTTCTTCATCACACGTTTTAAGTAATGCTCTTTGATATTTTGGTTTAAGCGTATGCAAAGCGGTTAGCAAATGTTTATACGTTGTGAGTCGACGATGCATCATTTAGCAATGATTTCAATTGTTTGATTCTTGGTGTATTTAAACTCTTTTGTGGGGACGTAGACTGTACAGAAACCATTAAATGGAAAGACATTTGTCTTGATACGACAAAAATCATTGGTATTCTGTTTTAAATCTACCATTAAATATCCATGCGCCTCTAGAGTTGCATCCCTGTAGGCATTTTCAATGAATTTTGGGTTATCTGGTGATACTTGTCTTGCTAAATATCTTATTTGAGTTTTATCTCGAGGGTTTTTAAAATATATTATATAACTTGAGTTTAAAGATATGTCTCTTTGTCCTTTACCCTGATGAAATAAATTTTGTGTTAGATAAAATACACTAAGATTCCTGTGATGACTACCTTTTGTAAATATATCCACAATTCTTCCATCGGACTCTCTCATTAGATCATCAATAATAACAAGATGTGGGTTTTCACCATCAAACATATTAAGATTTGGAATTCCTTGATGATAGTTAACATTTGGTAAATTATATAATGGTTGCATTTCATCAAAGCACCATGTGATCTGATTAAAATCACAATTACATATTTCTGTAACTGATTTTATGAAATTTGTTACAAAATTTGACTTCCCACACCCACTTGGTCCTGCCACAATAGCAGTGAACGGATGGATAAAGTGAAACATAACACACGTCTAAAGTTCAAAGGGGTGAAATAAAAAATGAAAGTGTTGGTGTAAACAATTAATATATATTCCAAAAATTATATAAAACAGAATTATCTGTATACTATTTCTAACACAATTAGTACATCATAATTTTACAATTAACTCAACCTCAAATAAATAGAAACAACAATTAGTACATCATAATTTTACAATTAACTCAACCTCAAATAAATAGAAACAACAATTAACTTAAATTATTTACAATAAAACAATGTTTAAATATGTAATAAACTACGTCATATTATAGTATTATCATAATTTTACAATCAATATAAATTTTTCTTAAACGCAGACATAAAAGTAAAAACTATCAACACTTAACGCAGTTTATAATGACCCCAAGCTAATGTTTCAATATTATTATCTAAAATATGTCTCTTTGTGTCATTATATGATAAACCTATCTTATTTAATTTTTGTGTGAAAATTGTGTGTTTAATTGATTTAAATCTAAGCATACTATAATATTGAATTTTTTTATTAAATAGAGAAGACTTATAACTATTCATTGTCATCTTTTTAGTGATACATTTATTTACCCCTTTTGCCTTGGCTATAGTCTTATTCTCTAAGTTAAAAGCGTACATTTTGGATCGTAAACCCACAAATTCTTTCATGATTTTACCATTATTTTCATCTTTAAGAAAACCTAATTTCTTTTTATTTAATTTTGGATATTCAAAAATATTATTTGTATCATAATCTGAGGTATCAAAGTATGATGAAAGGTCAGGTTTTATATCAGTGTAAAAATCATTTGTAAATATATGATATATTAAACTATCCGTATCTGTATACAATAATTTGATTTTACTAAACTTTTTAATCATATAGTTATAATGAAAATCATACATTAATGTTTTTGAAATATCT